TGAGAAACTCCCATATCGTTTTAGATGTGACATCTTCCATATGGTCCGGTGCTGTTTTCCAGCTGCAGCATAACAAAAGAAGTTGAGCAAATCCAGACATGCATGTGTTGTTAAGTATAATATATGAGGGCCGGTATGGCTGCTTTGTTTCTTGCGTTTTCTGGGGCTCTACATTGCATTTGCTAAAGCTCGGTTTGGTTACACTGACAAAACAATTTGCAATGTTCCTCAGATTCTTAACATAACCAATTACATCAGCTATATACCCCTCCTGAAAGTTCCTGAAATGAATACCTTGTTTTTATATACTATCGTGTTTTATTCTTGAAGGTAAAGAATGAGGTTTTCCCATCACAACACCTTTCATACATGGTAAGTGATGGATTATGAATGTATTCCCCTCAAACAACTCAAGTTTGATTCATGGCCACAACTTTTAAAGATCCTCATTCTATACTCACTTCTCATTCAGCACAAACTACATTATGCAGCGTTCAATTCCAGACCAGACGGACTGGCTCTGGATCCCAATCACAGCGTAGCATCGGCCTGGACAACTAATCGGATCTGCTCCTGCGACTGCAGATAATTTTCATTTTCAAGCGCTTGGTGGGTTATAAGTCGTGGGTTTGAACCTTGTGTAACAGGGATACTCTTCACCCAGAGAGGTTGGAAGGCGACACACGCTGTTGAGACATTACGTTTCTATGTAAAAAACAAAAAACAAACTAGGGATCTCACATTCGCAGAGCACGTTAACACAAAAGCCTTCATTTGGTTTGCTGCAGGGGGATGTGGTGCTTCACTTTTGCACTGTGATCTCTGGTCTTTAACTTCTTCTGCATCTCGTCGGCAAAAAACCTTTTGGGGCCCCAATCATAAGAGCGTACAGGGTGGGAGGCCTGGTGTCACTAATGTGTCATCAACTGTGACTGATACATCCTACAAAACAGCGGCAGTTGAACAACGGCGGGTTGTTACGTTGTTGTGTGCGTTTCAGAGCTTCACTGTTTCTGCTGCTCTTTTTTGGCTGTGAGTGTCCTGCTATCGGTGTGCCCTGTGCACTATTTATTATGCATCTTTTATTCTAAAAATAAAGAAACATTTTTCACATTTATATGACATTTTGTGCAGCTTTATTCTTTGTGGAATGAAAATTCAAAGGAACATCTGTGGTTCATTTCAGAGAGACTCTTCCCTTCAGACAAAGATAATGATCTATCATAACACAGTAACATAAGGGGAAATAGGTCACATTAGGGATACGAACCTCTGCCTGGCTGTGTGTGTCTGCCTGTGTGTGTGTGTGTGTGTGTGTGTGTGCTCTCAGCAGACTCCACAGATAACGCTGCCCTATCTCTTCTCCATTTAGTGCCGCCATGTGTCTGTCTGGGTTCCACCGACTGCCACCTCAGGGGAAATAAGGATACGGCTCTCAGGTTCCCAGCAGGCCCAACATATGGGAGCTGCTCTCTCATCCAGTAGAGATGAATTCATCCCAAATTCATCTCCTCACACAGATTCATTTGGCAGACATGGCGAGGTAGATGGAGAGTCTTGAGCAGCATCTGCATGTGTGCGTATGTGTGTGTGTGTGTGTGTGTGTGATGGATGTGGATACTTTGCATTGGTGTATCTCACTTTTGTACCACTGAGTGCCTCGCTGATGGAAAACGGAATGAGATGTCGGCCAATTGTTATTTATTGTAACCCCTGTGCTGTTATTAGTCTCAGGAGTGAAGGAAGGGACCAGTGAATTAAAGTTGACAATGTCATCATAGGATTTTAACTAGTGCAAAAACTGAAGGTATTTGAGTTTAAATGTATTATTTATGCAGATTGTTAGGAAGAATGTCTTCCTCTTCCCTGTTGTGCTTCATGAACTGAATGTTTTTTGATGTAGAGATTTCGGACCTGTCTCCGATATGAACAAAAGTCTCTTTCTAGAAATCATTGAATGACTCTCACTAAAACTATCATTTCAGAACTGACTACAGGTAAGAGGAAGTCAATAACTGTCAACATTTCTGATTGTCAGACTCTTTAAATTCGTTCTATGATTTTTATGACCTGGAACTGTGATTTCAACGAAGATTGATTGATGATCTTTTCTCAGGACCTGGATGTTTTTGAGTTGAATGTCTAGACTTGATGTCTGGCTTCGATATTTGTGTCAATGGAGAGTAAAGGTTGGCTCTTTATTCTTGAATCTTATATTGTGTAGGGATTCTTTTATAGTGAGTAAATCCAATACAGATGTTGAGTCTTCTAAATCTGCAGACGTGCCTTAGCACTAAATTGACACCTCCGTATATAAATAGATAAAACTAACGCTGAAACAAACAGGTGGCAAGCAGGTCAAGTGCATGCGGCGCGCTCGGTAAAACATCTAAACGCAGAACTGAGGGTAGATTCACTGTCGCAAATAATAATGATCATAACAACAGAGGAACTAGTTCAACCTTCTGGCCAGCAGCGCAGCGTAGAAATAAAACCATATGGTTGGATACACAATCCGCCTAATCATCCAAGCCAACCAATCCAGCCATTAATCGGTGCGGCGGTTCCATCAGACAGAAGTCAAATGCTTCACTGCTTTTATGCTTTTGGGTGGAGGAATGGCAAAAGTAATTGGATTCGGTGTTTTGGGGATTGCCTCACAGTAATGGGCAGTAGTCTGCACTTTAAATTAAAAGAGTATGTTGGGGAATAAGTATTTAAACAGCAATCAAGATCTGGTCTTTGAATATAATCCAAAGTGACTCAGACTAAAGTCAACAACTAACCTCAACATTGTCACCACACAGCACATAAATAACGCGAAACGTTCAGAGAACTAAGCATGCTACGAAGTGTCTCCAGCAGCTACTTGGTAAACAATTAAAAATGAAAAGAAAGCAATAAAATTCAGTGAATTCCCTTTGTCTGCAGTGCTTGTTTTATCCCTGACTAATGACTGCTCATGGAGGGAGTATTGTCCATAAAATGTAATATTTGCACTGAAAGTCAATTAACTGCAGACTGTTGCACCATGAAGCAGCTGTCCAAAGGTTCAGTGTTTCCCTTTATGCACCAAGCTAGGGACGTTAAAACCTCATCAAAGACACGATGCTATCTGATGGGTTTCCGAGAGTGATGAGAATCTGTGTGAAAAGGGGACACGTCACCGGCCCTGATTCACTGAGAGCAGGTTTTATCCTTCACACTGTTGCTTTTTGGACAGTGAACTAAAGCAGCACACTGAATCTTATTCTTCCCCCAAACGGAGCAACCAAGTGACTTTGCACTATCCATGTTTACTTTGTCAAGATTGATGGTGCAAACTTGAATGTTAGAATGTAAAACTGTCATGGCCTCACCCAAAAATTGTGTGTTTTTGCAAAATAATGTTTCCTAGATGCTTGCTCACATGATGTTTTCCTGTATCGTTGATCTTTAGGCTTCTATTTTGAACGGCACGGAAAGTTAAAACGTTTATTCAAAAGGCAAAGGTCACTCAAAGAGTCAATGTAGAAAAATGGCAGTAAACTCCCATATTTAGGACGGCAGGGGAAGCCTTTATGATGAGGATGGATACAGGTATCCCAACTGCATAACTACTGCCAGCGTTTTCTGCCACTGGCGTCTTATGAGTCAGTCATCAAAGCTTCACATTGCCAGTTTTCCTCCTAAATCATTTCCCACTATATTTGGATTTATGTGCCTTTTACAGTCACTTAAGAGCTAATGTGACATAAATATGGCACCCTTTGTAAAGAGAAACCTGCTAAATGCTGATTACGAGCGGTTCAGCATCATTGAATACTGAGTAATGAATGAATTCCACATTGTCTCTCCCAGAACGGCTTTGGAAACATTGCACATGTTAAACAACCGACTGAGGCCCTGCTCCTGGTGCTGACACCCAAGTTGGCTCACTGTGGGAGTCCTTTGTAGCTTTAGGTGGCTGTTGTTGTCTTTAGCCTGATGTGGACAGGATCAGTTGAACAGGGCGCAGTAATGTTGTCCTCACTGGAGAAAGTCTATAAATTAAGTGAAATTGGCCTCATCAGTTTCCTTTCCTCCCCAGCTTTGTCTTGTTTTTTTGAGACGAACAGATTTATGTCTCCAGCCTCTGTACCGTGAGAGACGTTCTCTACTTCTACTGCAAGGACTGTAAATGGAACAGATTCTCATTGCTAACTGTTGAAACGGGCTACGCAGACTTCTGGCTTGAATTGTTCATAAACAAGATGTTGAAACACTTGTTGTATCTTGTTTGACGCCGTGTATGAATCCTGTGAGATTAGATTGGGAGGAATTATAGCAGTATTAGCATTCATAGATCCAAAGACTGAATCCATCAGCTGAGTTACAATATTATGAAAGATTACTGACATAATGATTCAGTTTTTAAACTATGTGGTGATGTCATTGGTTCCTGACAACTGAGGAATACTTGTTATTAGACTGTAAATGAATGCAATAGAAAGGATGCAGATTACACAATCAATAAGGCTGCAATCCACAATTACCCTTCCAATGGATTTCAAGTGCAGAATTGTAGTTCTGTGGAGAGTGAGTGCAACCGAATTCTCCGGATGCCGCTTGGAAGCCTCGAGTTTTGCACTTTAACAATCACCGTCTTGATTTATTGCGGTTGCCAGCTTGTTTTTTTGCTGTTACAAACAGAAGTGATATGATATGAGCGGGTAGAGAAGAGTACAACCGAAAGCCCAATAAGTCATTTGAAGTTCACCAAAAAGGCTTTTCCTTTTTTGTCTTAAGACAAAAAAAAACAACTGTCACAACGCTGCAGCAGTGCTTTGTTCAAGAAGACCTGAAACTAGCAAGTGAGACCAACCTATGTCTTCAAAGTTCAAAGTCTACTGCACTAAATCAAGTTAGTGGGGTCATTTTCTGTACTTCTCACTAGTCTTTCCTCCTTCGAAAGGAGAAGTGCTCGTATCCTTTTCCCGTCTCTTCCTCTTGTCCACAGCTCGTCTCTCCGAAGCTCTCATTCCGTGCAGCTCTCTTTTCCATCCGTGCCGCTGCTCCTCATTTTCTCAATGGTCCTTGCGTCCTCCCGAGGCCTTGTCACTTTCCTCTGCTGGATCGGCGTCTCCTTCATCTTGCTTCAACCTCAAACTTTCTGCGTCACTCCTGCGTGTCATCTTATCTGCCCGCGCTGTCCTCTGCTCCGCTCGTCTATCCGTCACTTTCCCAGGGGTCGGAGGGGGAGACACGGGGGGGATCTGAGGAAAAGAAGGGTGAGTTGTTGGATTCTTGTCAGTCAGACTGCGACTTCAACGCAGATATGGAAATTGACCAGATAAGAAATATTTTATTTCATTCCAGGAAATGAAACCACTTTAGGGTTAGTCGCACATTAAATCTAAGGGTAGAACATGCTTCAGGGACATCTTAAGATGTGAAGATGTGGTTATCTGCAGATGTGACATTAACAGGAAGAGGTCGAAACGTAATTGGGGAAAAAAAAATCTACTTCCCTGATATATTGCAATTTGTGTCTGGGGGCCTGCAGGCCCAGAATTACACGTAGGAGCCACATTTTAAAGTGGAATGCATCAAACCAACAGAGCAGGTCTCCCTGCAGGGGATTAATGGCATTGGTTATACTTATTGGCCTGTTCTTACTTTGCTAAGCCAGTGTCGTCTTGATGGTGAAAACCCTGCGTGTTGTTGTCAATATCTTATTTTGGACGTAGAGCAAATACAGAAGAGCAGCTGATAACTGGTAGTGAAAGCACAAAGAGGAAAAAAACAAAACACTGTTTCATTCGATCTTACTCAACTCTTTGGACCAGACACCCATTTAATGCCGTCCCGCCGGAACAGTTTTTAAAAGGATTTTTAGGACAGTTTCCATTAATCTTCACCATATGCAGCACAACTGTCACGAACCGAAAAGCCAACCCACAAACCAATTACACGTCGGCGCGGGGAAGAAAACACACGACTCGATCGGATGGATGACAAAATGAAACAACAGAAAGAAAACAAATTACACCTTGTCAGCGACGGCGTCAAAAAACACCCAAAGGGACGAAGGTGGAGCCGCCTCGAGCAGCTCTGCTCACTGGCAAAGCTCAAACACCGCACACACACACACACACACACACACACACACACACACACACACACACACACACACTCTGTGTGCCCCACCCAGCTGCTTCTCCCTGAACGTTGAGTCAGGTGAATCATTCATCGGCAGAAACACACACATTTGTTCGTTGCGCTGCGGAACCATCCTTTGCTTTCCTTTGTGACATTTTCTTTTTGGTGCCTGCAATTGATCACAGTGAACGTAAAGTACATCATATCTTAAGTAATTTCAGTGTTTCAGTCGTCATTCTGAATGAAGCTTTTCAAGAGTCTGTATAAAAGAAAAGCATACAACCAAGACTGAATATCTGAATCAATACAGAGTTTCCACAGTATTTATACACCGGTACCAACAATGATTTATCTTTCAATCAAAATCTAACGTGATATTGACTCCATATGGCTTCATTTCACCCTGCGGTAGTGAGTGAGTCATCCTCAAAGCTGCTTATCCTTCATACAGGATGCTGGCTGGAGTGAATCCCAGCAGACACGTGGACATGCAGACTCCACACAGAAAGGCCTCCGGGTGGAGACTAACTCAGGATCTTCTTGCTGTGAGGCGACAGTGCTGACCATCACAACACCGTGCCGCCTCTCTGTGGTATTCAATATTGCTCATTTGAATTTTCAAGGTATTGAATCATAGGTAGTACAGTAGTACTAGTAGTAGTGTGTGTGTGTGTGTGTGTGTGTGTGTGTGTGTATACATGTACTCAACCCAAGGCCATTTGCTCATCGTCATCTTTAACTGTATTTAGTCAGAAAAAATACAATGTTAATAGATGCATATTAAAGTATCTTTTAATTGCTTCAAATTATATTTCAAATAAAAGTTTTATTAAGGATATATGTACCTCGAAGGAGACATATTATGAAGATTCCACTTTGATGTTAATGTAGCTGTCTTAATGTTAATAAGCATCTTATTGTAAAGAGAAAGCCTAATTTCTTATTACTAAGGTTGAGTTGACATAAAGCAATTACGGAGACCTAAATCTATTTGAAGTAGGTAATAACCTGTAGCAACGTGCAAAAAGAAAAAAAGAAAAGATCTGATTTAAATCCTCTAACTGTGTAAAAACCTCATGAGACTCAAACAGACAATTTACATTTTAATGCAAGAGTGAGAGATCTGCACACAAGAGCTCCATCATAGATTCACTCTCATACAATTTTTATTAGAAAGCTATGCATTATCTTGTCTTATTATGGTCTGCAGTGCAGGGAATGGCCCATTTGCATGGCCCCTTTTAGCCTGCTGATCCGACATTACATCGTTACCCTTCCATCTCGCATACCAAGACCAATCAATTTTTGGTCCTTTTCAGTCGAATTCCTTTGTGCTTTAACCCACGCAGACATGCACTTACACTTCTTTCAATTTTTGCTCCAGATGTGATTTCCAGAGTGGTGGACTGGCTCCAAATTATTCATGATGTAATTAGCCAGTGGGGAAATCTTATTAGAGAATCTTGACTTGGACCGCGGGGAAACTTTAAGCACTTCGTCAAATAATGGACCGGGCATCCAAATAATATCCCTGACCCATTTCTGTTCGGTTTCTAAAGCTCACTGTATTTAATGATGCCTGTTGGTGTCTGCGTACACAAAATACCTTATAGGTCAGACCTACGGGTGTTTAAATTTCTTTCATTATCTCACACCAGCAATCTTTTTCCTTGAACGATGGATGCGTCTAAGACGGAGGATGTTGTAGAGATTGTAAACAAATCGTACTCTCTACACAAATACAAAGTTTATTAGATTGGTGATGTGCCGTTCCAACTCTGTCTCAATATTAGGGAGGGACCAAAATAATTGTTTGTTGCTTTCAATTTTGCTATTTGGATAGTTTTTTTGTTTGTTTTAAACCCCATAGGATCACGAAAAAAAAAACATACGGGAAAAACTGTCCACCAACTGTCTTTTGAGTACCTTGCCTCTTTTATTATTTTACCACGCTATGTAAAGCGTAAATAATGCATAAGTTGTATTATCTTTTTTGTGACTTCTTGGCTAACTGGCTTAATGTACACTGTCCCTACAAAAGCAAATGTAAACGTACTGGCCCTCTTCAGGTCCCGTCCAGGTACCAGTGAAGAGCAGCCAGATCCAGGAAGCCACGACGGAGCGAAGTCTCTGTAGGAATGTTGGCGCAGCAGTCACACACCTCTGGATGACGGGCAGTCATTTCATTGGCGTTTGGTCCAGCAGGTCTGGGCCGGGTGGTGTCCATCACACGGACCGCTCCTCACTATTAAATTCCAACCCAGTGCCTCCTTCTCTGAAGGCAATGAGAGCGTTCTCTCATATGCCCAAACGCTCCAGTAAAGACAAAAATCTACTACAAACCACACATACAAAACTGTAGCCAAATTAATTGAAGCTACTTGCCGCCATGAACTTGTCTTGGGGAGAAGGCTGCGGTTGTAACTTTGAAGCCCGTCGAGACTCGCGCGCAGAAAGGGACGAGGACACGCTGAGCGGAGCACGCTCCAGGAGTAACCACAGCGCTCCTCAATTCATCAGTTTGGTTTGAAAAATTGCGTGAGACAGACAAATGGTGCAACTTTTAATGACACAAGTTGTTAAAGTACTGGTTAAAGCACTCTTTGGGTCACAACCCTCCCCCAGCGCGCTGCATCTGGCAGATCAGATTGATCCATCTCTAAATTAGCACATTCATACTCCCAACGATACCCTTTTCACATTGATAATCCCTGCAGCTTTTCCTCTTCACACACAGCAATGAGTTTCTGCAAAGACAATTGGTACAACAATTGTTGTTTTTATCGTCATTCATAATCTTGTTCTGGGGTGCAATGAAAACCGCAAACTCTTTCAGTTATAAAGGTATGAAGAAGATTATACTGCTTGCCTTTTCTCTTCCCTGAGAGTGTATTCTTTTCTGAATCAACAATGTGGAACCAAAAAGGTGGCAATTTTAAGATTTGGAAGTTGTCAAGGTTGTATCTACATCTTCTGACAACCTGCGCAATTGTGCTTAAAGATTGGTGATTTCCTCTTTTCACTGCATAGTGAATTTAAACCACACTCACTCTAACTCCACCCTGTAATCCACATCTATTCCTTACACCTGTCAGCTCAACACTGCTCTGAGCCATTTGAGACACAATGCAAAATTAAAGGGAATGAAAGTACAGCAAACATTTCTGCTCAATCATAAAAATATGTCTAGAAGCATTGAAGAAATACTGTAGTTTTATGGTGAAGGTAGTCAAGCGTTTCCCTCGGTCCTTGCTGTGGAGTCTGCAAACACCAACGCTGCACAGAGCAGTGAGGCTTAGTTACGTGCTTGGAAAAGCACAGGAACTGGTGGATTGGACGAAGGTAATTAGGTGAATAATGACTGCAGGGGATCGGGGAATGGAAATAGGATACAGCTCACAAGTTTATTATAAAGTAAATTCCCACTGTTTATCGAGGTGTGGGGGGTGTGTATTGTTGGATGAGATTTAGAGTGATATGAACCAACTGTTTTGTATCCACCATGATTTCAGAGCCCCTTCCTCTTCTTTTAACAGCCGTCTCTGTCTTACATCATATTGGCCTCCATGAAGCCCTACTGTAAGTCTTATACACTATGTTCAGCCTAACTGGAACTATACTTCCTTTGTTTTGTTTTTTAGCAAACCAACTCTTAAAAGTGCTTGGGATTGCTCCTGTGGGGGAAATGACCGTAACTTTTCATGCCTTGTCCAATCGGTCAGAATGATATCTAAAATCCTCTCTGCATAAACTTAACATTTTTTTTGCCAACTGTTTTTTCCTGCCTTTCACTTCATCACTCAGCATCTCCTCAGAAGGTAACTCATATGTTTTGGGAGCTTTTGGATGCCTCGGCGGAAGAACGTCTAAAAATGTTGCCTGGTGCTTTTGTACTTTTAAGTTTTGTCCCTTTAAAAAAAATAATGAAATAAGAAAGGTATATCCCTCTTCCACCGACTTGTTTACCCGGAGACTGCTTTTATTTCACTCATAAATCTCGTTGTCAGCCTTCGACTGGTAGATGGGGCAGACCAAATAGGCTGCTACTCTGAGCCTAGAAGGAGTTTGTTCCACGACATTACACTGCCGTTTGCAGGATGCCTCCATCCTGAGAAAAGTGGTCCTGTTTCAGCGGGGAAACATGAAAAGGGGAAATAGATCTGAGACTGCAAGACTGCAACTGTGCACAGTTGTGAGACATCAGTCGTCCTTTTTTTTTTTTTTACCCCGTTAGCTTCTTTGCAGAGCGACCTTGTCTTCATGCAGTTTCCTTACGTTAGAAACTACGACCTTCAGGTTAACAGACAGGCTTTTATCTACAACTGCAAAGTCTTTTTCGATTATTTAACCTGCTGTTACTATTATTTGTTGCTAATTCTAAAGTCTTTGCTAGCCACGTTTCCATCATGTCATAACGCCTGTGGGGATTGAGTAGCACCTCAAGACCGAATGGGCAATTTAATGAGCACCAGGTGGCGTTCTGGCAGCGATGTTACAAAATGCCCGCCGGTATTCCGCTCAACCCCGTCTTGCATGGTGGCCTCCCCAGAGGCGATTCTTCAGGAATTGCTTTTTTTTTTTTTTTTTTACGGAAAGCATCTGGATAAATGAGCGTCTTCGGATGACACTCTGTGATGATCCCGGGCAGATGGAGCAGGGAGAAGGATGGATGGATGGAAAGGGAGCAAAGGAGCCATAGAGAAGGGACTGATGCAGACTAAATCAGAGAAAATGAGCAACGGCACAGGGATGAGGAGAGCGATGTCGGACACATGAGCGATAGAGGCGAAGCAAAAATGAGGAGCGGGTAAAAAGTGTTTTGCTTTCACAGTAAATGATAAACCTGCCGAGTTGTGTTGCTGCTTCGGGGAAGGAGTTTATTTTGCCCTTGGGATGCATTCCTCCTCAAAGTAGAAACTCACAGCTGGCTTCACGTTCCGCCGGTGGCAGCCTCAAACTTAAGGGGGGGAAGACCTGCAGTGGTTTTTAAAGCCCTGAAAGGTTGAAGATTATGCTGGTGAGGAAGGGAATTCTACTTCCCTTGCAAGAAACACACCTGACAAAATGCCTCCGAGCAATGCCAACTTCCACAGCGAACACGGACGACATGCAAACAGAGGGCTGAGAGAGAACCGTGCATGACAACTGATGCTGTTACGAGACCGAGAGGCAGCAGCCAGGCCACGGCGTGGACGGTGCGGCTGAATATTCCAGTTAGATGGCATCTATCGTACCATAAATCGCACCGTCCGATCCATTCAGTATAAACCCGATAGCACCTAATGAAACTGCGATTGTTCTTTATTGGAAAAAAGACTCGCACAAAATCCATATACATACGTCCCATAATCTCCCCTGTGTGTCAGCCTCTTTATATCTCCGTGTCCCCTTTCAATCTGTCCTCATGTCACCACATCACTGCCCATTAATGACGGAGGACTGTCGGCACCAGATCATTTCAGGTCATTACAATCGGGTCATTCCCTCTCAGTCTGCAACTCAACGGAATCCCGTCACTCCTCCTCACATTGTCCATTTATTTCTGCCTTCGCTGTATCGTTTGCAAGTAACAAAAGCTAAAGAAATGGATTCGTGGAAACGGCCCTCTAACTACTGAGACGTGTCCAAAGTAAAGGGAAGAAAAACAGTCTCTCAGCAGCTCCCTTCTCTCATCCCTCTGGACGTCTGAACCGTGCTTGGATATGGGAGGGAGGCCCCACAGGTAACCGGAGCTGGCTCCTTGGACTGCAGGGTCCGGCTTTCAGGGACCGATAGAAGACAGCCAACCAGGACCTACGGGCGGGCCAGACAGCGGAGGAGGGGGTCGGACAAACCACCACCAGATCTCTGCGTGAGCACGCTCACAGGCACCTGTTTGTATGTCCTTACGATAATCCTGTTCAGAGAAGTTTCATTTGCAACCTGAGAACTTTGGGAAGGAGCTTCTCTTCTCTTTTTATTTGTTGATGTTAATCTTCTCCCTTTGAAATGAAACATATGACTCCATGAGAAAAAAAATGGCGTTTAATGTGCAAAAGGCCCTGAAATCCTTTTGCAGATTCTTACTGTGAGCGAGTGGGAAGATCCCACCTCTTTGTGTGTCCACCTATTCTTGCATTCTGCTGCAGCTAACTGTATAATATTTAGAAACTCCATTTATGGGTCCACGCTCGAGAACCTCTCCCGGTTGAGTAGACTCACGCTCTTCTCCAATGCCCCTTTTATCAACTTTTTTTTTTTACTGCCACTGACCGCCTGCTTGGTCCTCCCTCACTACTCTTAACCGGGCCCCGGACCGAAGGCGGCGCTAGTGAAAACACAGCCGAGTGCACCACCAGCCCCCGGGTGCAGCTCCGCGGCTGCAGGGGCAGAAGCAGCTGTTGATGTTTTGGGATTGTACAGTGTTTGCCAAAAGCTAACGCAACTCCCAGTGCAAACACTGCTGAGGACGTCTCGGACGGGGTTTTTTGGATGGTGTGTTTGGTTAACAGGGGAACAGCATTACCAGTGCACGCACTGCTGTATCCCTGCCAACACATGCGATTGTATGAAGCGTATTATATGACGACTCTGAGCTCATTGTATAACTGTTGTTTGTGGCCCTCCAGTGAGAAAAATCTCACAGTGGCAACTTCACAATATTGACATCAAAATGTGACAATATTTTTTTGGGATGCTTGCTTCATGATATCTGTTATTTTACTTTGGCGCTGTAAAATCAACTTCTACTTTATTTGGAAGTGCAATACTAGCACCTTCAACAGAGGTTGGGCGAGCAGAGAACCTGCCTGGCTGAGCCAAAGGTGGAGAGTACTGATCCCGGTGAAAATAAACTAAGATGAAGAAAATTATCGCTTTAGGGCAGTATTTAGAGAGGCTAAACTTCAGAACCAAGACAAAAATGTAAACAGCTATTCGTTTTTGAGGGAAATGTAAAAATAATGTAACCATATATTTTCTACCATCCAACAGCAACGAGAGTAATAAGTCCTGCTGCAATCCATTAAATCAGGGGGACTTTTTCAGCCTTAGCCATCTTCACGCTAAACCTTGACACAAGCTATTACACTTGTGTGTGTGTGTGTGTGTGTGTGTGCGTGTGCGTGCGGGTGGACGGACGGACGGGCGATTCGATAACTTAACAGATTATAGTTAAATGGGGTCATTTGGCAGCCCGACACTGCTCTCCCACTGTGCATCTCCGACAGAGATCAATGAGACTCGTTCTATTCTATTGACTTTCAATCACGTTTCTCTGAGGTCCCTTGTTCCCCACCAGCCGGAAACTACTGACTCGTTACAGAGCTGGTAAAAAGGTATCGAGGCCTCTGCAGCCAACGCCCTCATCTTGTAATGACGGACCGCTGGTGTTTTTTACCTTGAATTTGGCCCCCTGATTCTCAGCAGCAACTTTTCATGTCACACAATATTGACTTCCTGGAATCATAGATTAGTTTATTACTCGTAAATCTTCATAATGGTACACCCCTCCTTTCCCCCCACAGAGTCAACACGAGATCAGCATTTTTTCAGCTGTTGTATTGGCCATTTCAGACAATCTCGCAAAATAACAAATGTAGTCCCCTTTGTGTTTTGTTAGCTGTTAGCGGTTAGCCAAACACACAATCAAAAGCATTAAACGTTCACACACATTTTCCCCCGTGCTGTCCCCGTTCGCAGAGTCAAAATGTTAGAAGTGGTGAGTGAGGAGACAGCAGGCTGTAACATAAACAGGCCATGCATTGTGTTTTGAGAAGTGTGAATCACCTGAACCACAAGAGGTCCTTGAGCATGCAGCCATTGCTGTGCATCCACATTGTTATCATGCAGTTTGCCGCAGCACAATGTGACATCAGCCGTGGACAGACACGGAGGCGAACAATCACTCACACATGCACGCGCACGACTGATTGCATGAGCCTGCTGGTGGAGATGACAATAACACAATTATTATGAAAAGGCAAGCCCCAGACATTTTCCCTGCATTTACTGCAAAAAGCAAGATTTCTATTTGAAAATCCTGCTGTCAGAATGCATCACAGACAAGGCGCCAGAGCCGTATGATTTAATAGATTCAACTCATGCAGCAGGAAACCTAAATATATTCTGATGTCTCACAAGAAAAATCTGTTGGAGCGAATTGAAACTTAAAATACTGAAGAATCAGCAGCAAGCATGAAGCTCATCTCACCAACAGACAACCTCATTTGTATGTTCTGTTTATTTATTTCAAGTAACCAGGGAAACGCTCTACGGAATAAAATGTATTTCAACCTCGGGTTGTGCTGTTCACACACCTACAACCCAACATCAGCTCTGTAAGTCCGACTTCCTGACACTCCTTTCCTGTAAGGAGCACGAGGGACGCAACGCAAACCCTCTGTTCGGAGTCAGCGGAAACCACACGCATCTGTTCACCAAAACGATTTGCAAAGGCAAAAATAAAAAACAGATTCACCTCCTTTGGAAAATATTATTGGCCCTCTGGGGCGGTGTGTCAGAGAGAGGCCTGCAGCCAAGCACACAAACACAGATGACTTTCTACTGTCTCTCTGGCTCCGAGTGCAGGTGAGCCGGGACCACTTCCTCCTGCTCCTCCGTTCTCTGCATCTACTGCGCTGCAAAAACTAACCGCCTCAGTGTAATCTCTGCTTGAGTAGTTAAAACAAGTTTGAACTCATTTGAGCCACAAGGTGATTTGTTCAAATGAATTCAGTGCAACACACGCAGTCGATCTGCTGACCCACATTGCAGCGGGACCGTTGA